AGAGAGAGCGAACAACAGAGAGAGAGCGAGCTGATCCCGCCCTGAAGCGGAGAATTGGACTAAACGGCTGTGAGGTCCCTCCAGCCTTATTCTGCTATGAGATTATTTCTTTTTTTTTAACTAATTGCTGTTTAGAAGAGCAAGTTCAGACAATGCCTGCTCTACGTGACGCTGGCAGGAACATCCCCTCAAGGAAGTGAGTAGAAAGTGACAAAGCTGCCACATGCGGTGGTCCGGTCTCACTGGGAGCGTTCCAGAGGAGGTCCTCCTTCGTGACACAGGATGGCAAAGAGTGCCGTCGCAAACGTTAACGATGGGCGAGCACAAGGAAAGCGTTCAGAACTCCTGCACTAATAATCAGGGAATATCAAGATAAAAGAAGTCTGAGAGCCTGAAGTTCTTTATATCCAGCAGAAGTTTTCAGTTTTAGAAGCCGATATTCCCTTCAGCGAGGCCAAGCTTAAAACTACCACTTGGTCCCCAAAACCTGAGAGACTGCAAAGCTAGCAAATACTCCCAACTCAGGGAGATGTCCCCTACGTTAAACCTGGCCAGAAGAGGGGAACCTTATTTCAGGACAAACTGTACACTTTGCATTCCGAGCTGCCCAGAAGATACTTACACATATTGAGCTGCCGTACAAAGCTGGCCATGTTGTTATGTTTGAAGTACTTTGGAAGCACCTCCTTGGCAAATTGGCCTTGGTCAAACACATGGAAGCTGTTTCCACTCTGTCAAAAAACAAAACAAAATGAAACATTATCAACCACGGCTGCACAGAAAGAGAGAAGCCCACCCGCCTTTTCATTTCACAAATAGAAATTCTACATCGCTGTGGGCGAGATCGGTAGCGGCCCCATCTCTTGGAGCCCCTTAGCTGCAGGTAAAATGCAGTTTATTAGCTTTGTTTGAAGCTGTTACCATCTGACCAGCGCGAGCTCCCATGAATACAGTTCAGAGGGACCTCAACGACATCCTCCAGCTCCTGATGCAGTCAGCGTTTAGCAGGTCGCTGCGTCTCAGCTGAGCCAGGGTAACTGCCCACAGGAGCACTCTTAGCCAACGGCGACTAAACCACATTTCCTTGCACTCGGCCCAGAAGAACAACACGCGTCTGCCAGTTATCGAGAGCGGGCAGACAGCCGGTAAGTCTTTATGCTGTGATCAAGCTACTTATGTGGAAGAACCTGCAGAGCACAACTCCCCAGAGACTTAAAAAAACAACCCAGGAGGTTAAGCAGGCTACAAAGATTAAACCTCAATTTGCACAACTGCAAATCTATTAATTCCCCAACTTGTCCCAATTAATTTGTTTTCGTATCCACAGCAACAGCCAACGATCTTCTGAGCAAACTAAAACAACTGGGCTAGTCTGACTTTAAACATCAACATCTGCAAACAAACGAAGACAATTCTGTGTCCTGCCAGTCTCGGGCAGCTCGCCGTGCCCATGCAGACAAGGCAGATGAGGTCCAGAGCCGCTGAAAGCAACACGCGCTGTTGCTGGCAGAGCGAGAGCAACACTGACTAACGAGTTTTAATTTTTCACTGCAACTGATAAATGTTTTCTACATGTTGATTTAAAAAGTGGGAATAGGTGGGAGACAGGAGGAAACGTTCCTGCCCCTCTAAACCCTGAGGTACTTCTGCGGTCAGATTTTGGAAGACAAGTTATCACCAACAGAACGGTGCACGTTCTGAATAATAAGAATAATTAGTTATTTTGACTATTATAACTGTCTTGACTAGTAGTCAGGATCACATTTCAGCCACTTCGCTTTCAGGTCTGTGGTGCCGCTTTATCAAGTATGGTTTCTATTACCTTTCTGGCACGCTGAGCAGGAATTATACTGTCAACATAAGCATCTGCAAAACAGCAAAAGAAGGGATTTTCATTCTGGCAAAGCGACACAAGAACTCCAAATGCATTTTACAACCCGGATTCTCTTCCATGACGAAGTCTTGCTCCTGATCCACCCTCCTGCTAATATCATCCCACGCACCACCAGCACACAGCGCTGGCAGGAGCACCAGAGGAGAGCCAAGCCCGACAAAACACTGACGAGTCATTGCATGGCCAGGAAGCAATCAGACTTCTTAGTTCAAAAGAAAAGCGGCAGGGCCAGGCCAGACCACCCACGCGACGGCAGAGGGATGGTGCCTCCAGAACCCCAAAGTCCCGTGTGTCCCCCCCCCGGTTCACAAGAGTGACTCGGTGGAAGCACCTTCACAAGCAGGGGCTGCTACTTCAGTATTAAACTAGGTCATGCCGCGCAAGGTCAGGAGAGCCCCCTCACCCGTTACTGTGCTGAGCAACAAGACGGACACGAAACCACGGGCGCCCCGCGAACTCCAGCCTTGTCAGGTCAGTGGTACAGCTAACCACGAGCATCTGCAGGCAGTCTCCAAGTCCCAGCGTGAACCTCCAGGGAAAAGATGAGGCCAAGGTCTTCTGAACTGACTTAAGAGTATCAGACCAAATATCCACGAGACTTGATTTTCAGACAGGCACGTCTTGCTTTTAAAGTTACTGGGCACATTCAACGTAGCACTAATCCTAAAGAATTAAGACCACTAAAAAAAAACCCCTCAGACTTTAAAAGATTCCGCCTGCCAATGACAAAACCAGGTTAAGGGTTTATTAAAAGTTGACAGTTTGGGCTTTTTGGTCTATGGATGAGTTTCTTTACTCCTTCAGAGGATTCACCTGCGTTGGAGTATTTGTTTTCATTAAGGTCCTTTACTCCTTATCCAATGCTTACGAGTACTCTGAGTTGATTCTAACAGCAAAAAATGCAACAGAAAGACGGTGATGAAGGCAGGCAGTGCACGCTAGCCATCTCCCTAAAGATGGCAACCCACAATAAAGACAAGACCCTTGACTCCCTTTCCAAGCCTTTTTGTTTTGCTGGAGTTGCTCCACTCAAGAATTCTTGCTTTTTCGCCCCCTAAAATAACGAAGTTTGCTGGTGGTGTCCTCTGTGTGCTCCACAGCACTGCAGCCATTCGCTGTACGTCGCCGCATCCAAAATACTCTGCTCCCTTTACCTACGTCCAGATCCCCCAACCTGCCTCCCCACCTAACTCCGCTCCTGCCCAGCCCTGTGAACCTTCCCAGGTTTGGCTATTCCACAGGAGTCTATCCATGCTGCTAACAAGCGTAACAGATTTTTCCCCTATTTTCACAGAAGGATGGCTATTTTGTCCGTCAGCTTCAAGGAGTTTCACCCAAGTCTCAACGCTGTACCTGTTCGTTCCAAGGAAGAGGGGAGGAGAGGGAACTGAAGACAGGCTCTCAGCCTTCGGATCTAACACTATCAGAAGCACCACATTGGTGATTTCCTTCATAACGTTGTTTGAGATTCATCCTAAAATTTGTATTTTTAACACTGTACCACTTAAGCATTTCTCTGTGCAATTATTAGCAATAATCCCATTTCCAGACTGTTTATGGCCGGCTTATGCACAGTTCCTTGCACTCACACCAACTACCTTGCGTTAACCAGCTCCTCTCCCATCCTGGTGGTAGTCCAGTGCCAATCGGCACGCACACATGCCCAACACACGGCTACCGTTGCTTAGAGCGGCTGCTGCTGCAAAGTGGTAGAAGACTTAGAATCACAGAATCATAGACTAGTTTGGGTTGGAAGGGACCTCTAAAGG